CCCCAATCGTCCCTGCTCTGAGCCTGACCAGGGGCTGCACCTAGGGATTGGGCCTGCCCTCTGCCACCCGGGAGCAGGCCTAAGCCAGCAGGTCGTTATCTCCCGAGGGGTCCCAGACTGCGAGAGGGCACAGGCCGGGCTGAGGTGCCCGCCCTCCTCCCCCCAGAGTGCACAAATTTTTGTGCACCGGGCCTCTAGTAAAAATATAATTATTAACAGCATATTTACTTTATTTGGAATGACTTTTTTACAGTTGAGCAATGAACATTACAAACATAGTAATGAATGTAAGTAAATGCAGAAATGCATCTTCTGCAATCTGAACTCTGTTTTAAGAAAGTTAATATGCTTCTAAAAAGGATAAGAATTATGAACTCTAAAATGTAAATCCCCTTATCTCCTCATTTTGTTCACCACACCCACTTTATTTTCATATTGGTTTATAAAATGCTTGTCACTAAGATGAGTCTGTGTTTATTTTTTTGAGGACACATATATAGAAACCCTCTGGAAAAAAGATACTGATACTTGACACAATCATAAAAAGAAATATTTTTTTCTTTCTGAAATCTTCAACTGTGAAATAGTAATACCTTTAAAAGTTTCTGCAAGTATTTAATATTTTAATGATAGCATATATGAAATGGAGGCTCCTTATTATTTTGTCCCTTTGTCATATAGAAAATGTCCAAATAAATAATAAATTTTTCTGGTTGGTCATCAGGATTATTATTAGTCTTGGTAACTAATACTTTTCCCACTTCACTGAAATATTCATCTAGTCAAAAAACTGTCTTTAATAGTATTCATCTAAGGTATGTTATAATTTCATTAAAGATAGTTAATGAGAAAGGTTAAGAGCTTAAGGCTAAATCAAAGAGGCACATGGGTACTACTTAAAAAATATTTTTGTGGAAAAGGAAAAAAAAATACTCCCTTAATTCATCTCTGGTTACTGAAAGGTTGGCACAAATAACTTCTGTATTGAAGGTTTAAATAGCTATCACAGCATTTCGTATATTTAAACTTGAATTGAAAAGCTTTTCTTGTCTCCAAAAGAAAAATAGTCACATATTACTTACATAGTAATTACAGGCTATGCAGCTGCCCTACAAAGCTTTACTATAAATGTGTTAAGCATGAACCACTACACAAACCTTATTCAAATTGCTGTAAATGTTATGCCAAAGAAATGTCAGCCTCCACACCATCCACTACAATTGCTTACACAGGAACAATGGCCATCTTTCTAGTCTGAAACCTAAATAATGTAATAGAATCAATGTTGCTCATTTAGGCTATGGTTGGTTAAAAGTCATTACTGTTATTCCTCACCAGTAAAGAGGTCTCTTTCCCTTCCTTATGCATCAGTGAAGCTTATGCTAATGCATCCAAATGTAAGAAAGAATACGCTTCTTTGACATAACATTTAAAGATTGAGAATTCAAGGAAAAGTACATGCCATCTAGCATGATAAAAATACTAACCTTAATTTCTATATTTCACTGATCCTTGCTTTAAGCCCTTCTAAAGTACAATTTGAAGCTTACACAGCATTACCATTTGCTTATTACTTCAAAAATATTTATCTGGTCACACAAAACTCTGTAATACTCTCATACCAGTAACACAAGATTCAAGAGGCTGAACCTATGAAAACGTTTTATAGGGAGTAGTAGAGGTAAGATTTCTCAAAGTTTCAACCTTATCTTTAGAGGGCTATATATCACACATTCTAGATATAGTTTTAATACTGTTGTTGATTTGTATGCATTATTTGAACTTTGTAGCAAATGAACTTGGCAAGGTTTTGAAAATATAATAGCAACTAAAGTTGTCAGATTTATGACCTTACATCTAGAGCAGTGATTTTCAACCTTTTCCATTTCATGGCATGCAAACTAATTACTAAAATTCTGTGGCACACTAAAGTAGATATTATATTTTTGCCTCTACGACAAAAAATCGGTATAATTTTGAATTTTTCATATAGCCAGCTATTGTTGTGTTGGCTGTTGTCATTTTTTGTTTGACAATCTAAGGGAAAAGAGGTCAGTGGCCCTGACTAAACAGTCAGGTATTGCATGCTTTAAAAATCCTTGGGGCATATGGGTTGAAAATTGCTGACCTATATTGATCTGGGAACAAATCAAACTGGGCTTAAATTTTAATGAAAAGACATATAGCCATTAAAATGCAAAGACATATGCCCTTTAAAATGCTATACACTATTACAACTTTCTATTTTTAAAACTTTTGTTAACTAGATAATGTTTAAGAATTAAAAATGGCAGGATCACCATGTTGATATTAGTCACCCTTTATATCACATAAACCTGATATCAAGTGATGACATTCTCTGGTTTTCTTCCTAAAATTCCACAAACCCAGTTTAATCATGAGAAAACACTAGGGAAATCCAAGTTTCTGGAATGTTCTACAGAATACTTGGCCAGTACACCTTAAGTCAGTAAAGGGCATAAAAACAAGGAAATACTGAGAACCTGTCACAGACCAGAGGAAACTGGGAAAACATGCCAATTAAATGCTATAGCTTATGACATCCAACTAAACAAAAACCCTAGACTTAATCCTGGAACAGAAGGAAGACATTAATGAAAAACTGGTGAAATCAAAATAATGTAAAAAAAAAATACATAATATGTATTAGCATTTGTTAATTAGGATTCGGAAGAGTTTCATTGTAATTAAAAATGTTAACAATAGGGGAAACTAGGTATAGGGTATATGGGGATTCTCTGTACTATCTTTGTAACTTTTCTACAAAACTAAAATTATTCCAAAGTGAAAGTGTTTTTATTGTTACTTATTAAGTCATTTTGAACAAGGCTATTTACTTTCAGTAAATAAAAATTAACTTTCGTTTAGAATAGGTTAAATTTTGTTATGTAATTAATCTCTTATCCTAAATCTTATATCACATCAACATTTTAAAATTATACATTAAGTGCTCTCAAATTTGAAGAAAAGTACTGATTACACATGGCAGACGAACACAAACAACTAAACTCCACAAATGCTTAATCCTTTTTAACCTGCTCTTCCACTGATAAGGCTTGAGGAGCCTCACATTCACAGACTTCACCTGATAACAATTCTTTAAAACAAGATATCTGACAACAAAGTGGCAAAAGAAACATAGAAGCAACTTTCCCTACAATTTAGCTGAAAAATTAACTGATTTAAATTTTTCACTTGTCTTATTCCCATAGTTTCCAAAGAACCTCTTGTTATTTAAAATGTTTGGTCGATTTGAAGCTAGTGCTATTGATGATATGACTTTAGAAAGTATAACATTATAGACCTTGGGATATATAACATTGAGATACTGAAATGAGTATATAAATTCAGAAAAGTATTGATAGCAATGCCAGTGAAAATTCATAGAAGACAAATGACTTCCATGAAATCATGTTTAATTTAATTGAATGAAAATGAATTTCTTGTTTTAGGAAAAAAGTAGAAAAAAAGCAGGGAGTGAAATTTTATGATTATAGAAGATGTGATGGCTGTAATTTCAGAAGGTAGATCTAAGAGGAAAGCAAAACAAATCTTAAAGCTAGACTTGCTCATTATATAGAAAAAAAAAAACACTTAAATGATTTATCTATGTATATAAAAGCCTAAGCAACCGGCCAACCAGCCGACTGACTGTCTGACTGGTAGCTATGAGGTACACTGACCACCAGGGGGCAGATGCTCAATACAGCAGCTGCTAAGCTGCAGTGACCTGGCAGCTGTGGTTCTCATGTGACACACCCAGAACCAGAGAGGAGGGAGCCCGATTCCAGGATGCTTCACCGAGAACCGCCCTTTTGTAATCCGGGACCCCTCGGGAATGTTAGAGGGCTGGTTTTGGGACAATCCCTGCAGGCCAGGCTGAGGGACCCCAGCAGTGCATGAATCCATGCACCAGGCCTCTAGCTTGATCATAAAAGGCAGAGTCTTGGAAATATTTAGACAAAAATATTTAATAAAATACTAGAGGCCAGATGCATAAAATTTGTGCACTCAGGGGGGGTACAGCCCAGCCTGCACCCTCTAGCACTCCGGGAGCCCTTGGGGGATGTCTGGCTGACAACTTAGGCCCACTCCCCTAGGTCAGCAGTAGGACATCCTTAGCGCTGCAGTGGAGGCGGGAGAGGCTTCCGCCACAACCACTGTGCTTGCCAGCTGTGAGCCCGTTTTCTGGATGAGTGGCGCTCCCCCTGTGGGAGCATACTGACCATCAGGGGGCAGCTCCTGAATTGAGATTTTGCCCCCGATGGTCAGTGCACGTCACAGCGACCAGTTGTTCTGCCGTTTGGTCGATTTGCATATTAGCCTTTTATTATATAGGATGACAAGCATTTTTAACTTAACCTAGAGTGCTGAAAGATTGGGTTTTGGGATTTAATAATAAGAATAAGAGAGAAGAGATGGAGAAGAAATTCTCCATGAAGATATGGCAAGTGAGAAAGTGACACAGAGTCCCTAAGTGAGAAATTCCTTATGTGGACAGTGATATCAACTACTTGCTGCCCCTTCAGAACTGTGTCAAACAAGGTATCTCCTTTACTCCAGACCTTACAGTCAGCTATAATCAGTAGCCTTTTGTTAGCGATGCTCTGGGCAACAAAGGAAGGCACACAGTGTCCAGTGTGGGCTGCGGCATCAAGGCAACAGAGCAGTAGCTGCAGGAGGCAACTGGAATGGTAGTCAAGAATTGGGCAGCGATAGAATGGCAGAACTACCAGGGATCATGAAGAAGAAAACATCTCAGGAATCCTTGATATTCAGGAGTAATAGATGAAGTGGGGGATCAGCCTGGACGACTTCAATGTATAAAAGAGCAGCTATGTGGCTTGCATGTGTGAAAATTAGGTATGTGAAAATAATACACCAAAATATAAGAGTGTTTGGTGGTGCAATAGGGGTGTTTTTTCTTTCTAATTACTCACTGATTATCTAACAATTGTCTATGTATGTGATGTTTTTACCTTCCTCTTGACAAGTCTGCATCATCCTTTTTCCACCGCACAGTTGGTTGAGGATCTCCCTGGACCTGACAACGAAATTCGACTGATTCTTCCTCCAGCACCACTTGGTTAATTGGTCTCCTGAGAAATGTGGGTCGTTCTAAGGAGAAAAAAAAAAATATGTTTTAAGTATACTCTGGAAAAAGCATAGAAAAATTATGGTTTGTTTTTGGTACATAGGTACTTAACTGTATTTCAGCTATATCTTGATACTTACAAATACAATGTAAATGAATAAAATAAAATATTTTGAAATGCAGAAAGAGCTATGCTTGGATATAAAAGCATAGAGCCTTTTGGAAAAGATATTGCATTGATTCTTCATTGAATTTCTGAGCTACAACATGTAGATCCTGTCATAAAAAATTTGGACATGGAATTCCACATAAATGAGGAAAGAGATAAAAATTTATCTCTTAATTTGTTAGGATGGCTCAGATTGGAAGACTGAAAGTTGAAACTAATGTAAAAAACAAACAAACATATATTAATATCCCATCAGGAATGCTAGAGAAAACAAAAGAAGTTGTGCTTTTGAAAGTAAGTGCTGTCTAAATTTCCCCACTCAGGCTATCATTTATCATTGACCCAATACGTCCATGAATGTTTTCAATTCATGTATGGATAGCTGAATGCCTGATTTCTGTTTTTCTTTAAATAAAAATTACTCTTTTTAATTATTTTACACTATTTACTGTCATATATATTTTTTTCTTTTTCTTTTTTCTTTTTTTTCAGTTTTAATTAAATCTTTATTGTTCATATTATTACATTTGTTCTTCTTTTTCCCCCCCATAACTCCCCTCCTCCCAGTTCCCGCCCCACCCTCCGCCCTCACTCCCCACCCACTGTCCTCATCCATAGGTGCACGATTTTTGTCCAGTCTCTTCCCGCATCTCCCACACCCCTTTCCCCCTCAAGAATAGTCAGTCCATTCCCTTTCTATGTCCCTGATTCTATTATAATCACCAGTTCATTCTGTTCATCAGATTATTTATTCACTTGATTCTTAGATTCACTTGTTGATAGATGCATATTTGTTGTTCATAATTTGTATCTTTACCTATGTCTTCCTCTTCCTCTTCTTAAAGGATACCTTTCAGCATTTCATATAATCCTGTTTTGGTGGTGATGAACTCCTTTAGCTTTTCCTTATCTGTGAAGCTCTTTATCTGACCTTCAATTCTGAATGATAGCTTTGCTGGATAAAGTAATCTTGGTTGTAGGTTCTTGGTATTCATCACTTTGAATATTTCTTGCCACTCCCTTCTGGCCTGCAAAGTTTCTGTTGAGAAATCAGCTGACAGTCGTATGGGTATTCCCTTGTAGGTAACTGAGTTTCTTTCTCTTGATGCTTTTAAGATTCTCTCTTTATCTTTTGCTCTTGGCATTTTAATTATGATGTGTCTTGGTGTGGTCCTCTTTGGATTCCTTTTGTTTGGGGTTCTCTGCGCTTCTTGGACCTGTAAGTCTATTTCTTTCACCAGGTGGGGGAAGTTTTCTGTCATTATTTCTTCAAATAGGTTTTCAATATCTTGCTCTCTCTCATCTTCTGGCACCCCTATAATTCTGATGTTGGTACGCTTGAAGCTGTCCCAGAGGCTCCTTACACTATCTTCGTATTTTCGGATTCTTTTTTCATTTTGCTTTTCCAGTTGGGTGTTTTTTGCTTCTTCGCATTTCAAATCTTTGACTTGATTCTTGCGCTCCTCTGGTCTGCTGTTGGGAGTCTGTATAGTATTCTTTATTTCAGTCCATGTATGCTTAATTTTTAGTTGGTCCTTTATCACAACATCGAGGGTCTCATTAGATTTCTTGAGGATCTCATTAAGTTTATCGGCGGCTTCTAGACAGTTCTTGAGAGACCTTAAAAGTGTGGTTCTGAACGCTATATTTTCCATTGACAATTTTGTCCTGTTTCTTTGTCTCCGCATTTTGTTATGCTTTCTTGGTGCACCCCCTAGTGGTCTTTGTGCGCAGTCTTGTAGTTAAACCTTGATTGTTGTAGCTAATACTAGGGGGGATTTGACCTCCAGGCCAAGTGGCTGTGAGAATCAGCTGTGTCTGCTGTGAGAGAACTTCTGTCCTCTAGGGAGGTGCTAATCTGGCATTTGCCTGAGGCTATCCGGCAAATGGCTCTATGCAGGGCTTGGGCAGGGCAGGCTGGTCACACGGGATCAACAGGGTGGGCGGGAGAGAGCAGTTATGGCTGCTCTCAGTCCTGTCCCCAGGGGCTCTGCCTCTCTGAGTCCCAGCAACCGCTGCAAACCTCAGAGAGAAAGCTGCACTCGCTCCGACCGAAGCCAGACAGTCCCTCTTCTCCCGTTAGAGTCTGGGTCCCTAAAGACTCGCCCGGATCTGGAGCTCAGAGTCTGCGACTCCCTCCCGATTGAAAACGCCAACCGCACCCTCCGCCGCCAGCCTGCTCTGCATGCACTTCGCACCTCAGTACTTGACTTCAGCACTGTGCCTCCTCTGAGTGTCTGTATGCGTTTCTCTTTTCTCCTAGTTGTAGGACTTCCACTCAGCCAGCGTTCCTGTGGTTCTGGGTGATGTCCGTTCTGTCTTTTAGTTTCACTTTTGAAGTGGTTGTTTGAGGCAGCAAACTCCGGCGTTAACCTATGCCGCCATCTTGGTTCTCTCCTATTTACTGTCATATACATTTTTAAGGCCACTTATTATTTTCTTTTAAGTGTTCCCAAAGTTTGCCCATTTTCTTTTAACTTTAATGTTTATTTCTCTAGCATTCTGTTTTAGTGTTTCTGTCCTTTATTCCTTGGTTTTTAATCTGTACTTAGCTCTGTTGACCTGCATTCTATCACTCTTCTACATAAAGCTAGGAAAAAATAATAGCTGTCCATAGAATCTTACCATGTAAGAGAAATATAAAACAAAAAGCAGTTTTACACTTCTCTACACATTTCAATTCCTTGTCTAATTTCCTTTTTTATAATGTTCAAATTATGATCATTTAAATTACCATTTAAATTTTATTAGCACATGCCTCCAAATAATAGAAAAGTCCAAAATAGTGCTACTTGTTGAAGTAGAAAGAGAAGTCAAAGAAAAGAAAGATGAAATCCACAGGAAGTTGACACAATTTATCTGGTCATATGGCCACATTTAGTCAATTAGGACTTTAGTTTCAAATGCAATTTAAAAATGTGACTATAGTGCCAAAAAACTTAAACATACTTAGCAAGAAAACTTTAAAGAAAATAAATCACTTCAAATTACATGTTAAGAGAATAGAGTGAGAATACATGATTTTATTGACTAAAGATCCATATTCATAAAACAAATGTATAATTACAAGACAATATTTTTAAAACATTTTAAAATTGATTTCTAGAGTGAAGAAGAGAGGAAGAAACATCAATGTGAGAAGGGAGCATCTATCTATTACCAGGGATCAAGCACACAACCCAGGCATCCCTCAGTGCATGGGAAAACACCCAACAAACTGATCCACACTGGCCAGGGCATAATCATATTTTATTGCAATAAACTCAACCATCATTGGTATTCAGAAGGAAAGCAACTATATCGCTCTACCATGAAGGTGACAGTTGGGACAAAATTTTTTTTTAAACACAAACCTACATACGCTCAATTATGTGTTCTTCAATACCCCAAACCCCAAGTCATAAAACAAGGTAAATAGGATTTTATCACAAAGAGATTTTTTTTTAATGCATAATTTAGAAATAATCCATAAAAAAAATGGGAAACAAAGATTGCTTCTAATGATTTTAGGTAGTAGAATCAATTAGCAGCTAAGTGTGACCCCTTCATAACAGAACAAATCTGCATGCTGGTTGAAAGGATTTAGTGTTATACTTTTGAACTTTGAACACTATGTGCTCCTAACAACTATTTTCATGCTGGCATAGTTGATATTGAGCTATTGTTTCTGGAAGTAAATAGGCATAAGATCAGTATCTCCCTAGGAGTGCTTGGAATGTTAATAATAAAAATAAATCATTAGCATAAAATGTGGAATTGACTTTTTCTTACCCATCACTTGGTATGTCCATCCAATTCATCTAAAAGCTTCAATAATCCAAGTTAAAAGAGAGCTAAGCCACTGTTGTTTTTAATGGGGATATTTTATTACAATCTGGCATATGGCTGAGTGAGTTAGGAGGTCTTTCCCTCATCTACTCATTTATTCAGATCATATTAATACAGCTTCTCCTATGCCAGGCTTCGAGTTTGGTAGCTGGTGAATGGCCAACATTTTGGTGTAATAAAGAAAAAAAAAGTGGTAGGGGATAAAGTTAGTCAAGACCATGAAGAACCTTGTATGCCATGTCAAGAAAAATGAGTTATCCCTAGAGGGTTAGGGGTGATCAGGCAGGCAGGCAGAGGGGTTAGGGCTCATCAGGCAGGCAGGCAGGCAGAGTGGTTAGGTGTGATCAGGCAGGCAGGCCAGTGGTTAGGGGCAATGAGGCAGGCAGGCAGGTGAGCAGTTAGGAGCCAGCGGTCCTGGATTGTAAGAGGCTACAGGCCAGGCTGAGGGACACCCCCCATCCCGTGCATAAATTTCGTGTACCAGGCTTCTAGCTTTTAATAAGCCTATGAAAAGGGGTCATGTTGACAGATCTGAGAAAGATGAATTAGAAGTGAAACATGAAGCAGTGAATTAGGTCAAACTATCATTTTAAGACTTGTTTCAGTTTAAATTGACACAGTGTTTCTAAGAATGTGGAAAAGGAGACAGAATAAAGAAATATCAGAACTGAGTAATTAATCAGAAGTAGATGCTGAAGAAGTAAGGTCTAGAAAGATTCTCAAGTTTCTATTTAGCAATTGGCACAAATTTTCAGGTAAAGTATGGATATGGTATGTGTATATGTGCATGTGCGTGTATATGTATGCAGATCCTTTCATTGCAGAAATGGTTAGATAAGACAAAAATAAACCATTGTTAGTCAGGTTCCTGTACTTGACATCAAATGCAGTCTTAATTAATAAGACAAAGAAGACATATAATACAAGGGGAAAGAAAAATACCATTTTTGTAGGTATAGTAAAACTCTTGGGTTAAAAAATCTAAATAAAGATAAAATCTAAAGAAACTTTTTACGCATGATGAAG